GTTATTTTCTCTACCCTATCTCAAAATGAGATCAGTCAATTCAACCGACCTCGTAACCACAAAAAAAATTGAAATTAACCTTTTTTCTTTCTAGAATGACTTCAAATTGTAACATGAAACTACATTTGTTTATCCTAAGTTCGTAACATTATACATCTATTTCTATTAAGTTTTATTGTTTTATGTGCCTCGTGAACCATTTTAATTATATTATTATTATTATTATTACTTATTTTACCTAATCTAGTCTTATATAACTTAAAAAGATCCGTATTTTTAGATTTTAGTTAATTTTATAATAATAAATAAAGTATATATATGAAAAACAAGAAATAAAGTACTTACCTAATCTTTTTTTTTGCTGTCGGGTTTCAAAGAGAGTTAACCCTAATTTTTTATATTATAAATAGTAATGCGCTAATAATTTTTATTTCATTAAATAATGTACCAAAGAATATAGACTAATAACACACAAAAAGTAGACAAATTCAATTACCTCTCAAAATTTTCCTGGCTTTCTAACTTTCTAACAAGAGACGTTACAAATTCATCCAAGCTAGTCGTTAACCTTCCCTCACGAACGAATCTTGTACTGTGAGAGAAACTAACTATGTTCTGTTCAGAATACAATGTTATACAATACATCATTTGATGGATGAAAACTTTGACTTTCTATTGGTTATAGGTAATATATAATGAAATGTAAGAGAGAACTATCAACGAATTGTGAAAGAGAGGATGTGGCAGGGTGGGGTCTGACTTTATAATCGATAGCTCTGTAACCAAACAAAATTTAAGATTATAAAACTTATGGTTTGTCTAAGCAATAACAATTTTATAGAGAGTAATTTACATTTTTGAGGGGTGATAGATAAATTAGGGATGATGACTTGCTAAGACAAAATGTGTCATGTGGGTCACACTAGTGGAAATTCAGGATTTTTTTTTAAATATTACCTTTAAGAACTTAAAACTTGTATGCTATTAAAATATGGATTATTAGCTAAGATTTTATGTTATTCTAATTGGCATAACATAAACAAAAAGTAGTATAATAAAATTTTGTGTTATGCACAGTAAAGGACACCTGGGGTGATAGGGTTAAAGTTGTTTAATTAAATTTTGAATGTAACATAATGACTTATGCAGAAAATTGTTCAAAGGAGCTCCTGTGGATTATTAGTTGGCTGAGTGGGAAAACAAAGTTGCTATTAATGGAATTCATTCACACTAGACTCACTACACTAAAATCACAAGAAGTGTGCCTTATGGATCTGTGTTGGTGTAGTATGCAGGCATTTTGACATTCTTACTTTAATGTAAAATTTGTAAACGTAAAAAATGTATGAAATTTTCACATAATATTTGGTCCACAAAATCAGTTAGTTGACTTCATTCTAGCTGCCTTCATTCCTTTGCTGTCCCCTAGATATACCTGCTCTACAAATGGAAGATATTGCTGTAATGCCACAACAGTGTCCTACAGTGGTAGGATAGATGATATCTAAAGGTTAAAACCTATGCTATGTTGAATGAAAATGACCAGTTATACGGAGAGCACTAACTGTTACAAATAAATCTGACATTTCCTGTTAAGTAAGTTAGCATTTCCTACAGTGAAAATGTATTTCTGATAGATATTTACCTCCTCTCAAAAAATAGCTTTTCTTGACTAGTGCTGCCCTCTACTAGCAAAATGTTTCAACACACACCATTAGCCTTCTACCTCTCACTTATACATAACCACATGTAAATAATTATACAGTAGCTCTCCACCAATAGAAGTGCGACACCACTCCTATCATAACCAGCACCCTCTTCATATCTGCACTTGTTAATCACTTTCAAACTGGCCAAAAGACCACCACTATATATC